ATCACAATAACCTTGTTTGCAACGCCGGATGACCATTGGATAGACAACTCTTTCAGAGCCAGTCCAATGAAGAATCAATGCTATGATCCGATGTTTTTGTAAGTGGGTTAGATGCTACTAACCGCAAAAAACGTAACCTGATGGTCTTGGTAGAATATTTGATAATAAGTAGTATGTGAATGACTGGATTACCGGATACGCATGCCTGACGAGCGGCAAGAACCGCGAAACCGGTCGTGTGCTTCCAGGGAAATTTTGTCCACTCATTCACATTCTACTTAGTANTTAGTCACTGTCAGCAGCGTCCTTTAGACTATGGTTCCAGGTTAGAGCCCTGCCATTAACACCCAACTTTGGTGGTAGGCAGCTTTGCTACCGTTCGGTTCAATACCACGTCTAACCTAGCGGGGCCTTATGTGGTTCTCCACTTCAAGTCTGGGGGCTGAGGTTAAGGGTTTCCATCACTGAACAGCAATCCATAGTGACTATAGGGGTTATCCCCTATGCTGTTCATCACACTAAGGTGTATAATAAAACATATGTACATATTGAGAAGGATGGTGATACGTGCGAGACCCAATGCCACATCATGTAACCGATTACTATCTAAGTAAACAGCAACAGACTCTAACAACATTAAGGATAAAAAGACGTGCATTGCAGACACTGGATAGCAAAGGATCACACAATTAATTGAGAAAAAATTACTTGTGAGATAGCAGTTCGGGTGAACTACCGGTTCATTGCCGCTGAACATTCACATTTCGAGGTGTATAGAGCGTATACATGACTTGACTTGACACTGCAATATACCTAGTTCTGCATTGATTGGATCCCCAATAACGACTGATTTGTCAGTTTAAGCTGCACCACGAAAGTCCAAAGCTGGTGACCGTTCAGTAGAATCTCTGTCCACCTTAAACACTCTCCTTTATCTTGCATACATTGTCAGCTTGGCAGCGATCAGTAACGTTCACTTCAACATAGCTGAGTTTACAATAATGCTGAGTAAACTCAAATCCTTAATCCTCCGAGGGAAACGAAATACGTGGATAATGCCCATTGTCACAACTAGACATGAGCTGAAGTGGTCAAAATCAGTAAGTTGTTTTCCTGAGCGACAATAAGCAAGATCCAATAATGTTCTGAAGGAGGGACAGTGATAGCCATGCATCAGAAGAAAAACTGGGTCGCTGCAACGAGGCACATAGGATGGCGGACTGAAATAACGACCGAGACACTGTCGGAGAGCATGGGGAAGGCCAAATCCCAGCAACTATAACAACGTTGGGATAAATCACACAGCTTTTGATAGTTCTCAACGGCAGAGCTAATCCTTTAGGACTAGGCACTAAAGAGTTATCCGTAATGACGAAAGTCCACACCATTGAAGCGTGCTGGCTTGCATCCCTCATTTACGAAGACCTGATTATACCAGATACGTCAACGGATAGACACGCGAAAAAGAGCAGTCACACTGGACTAGCTAACTGGGCAACTCCTGGATTCCTCAGACTATTTACTCTAACCCTGGAGAGGAACAGTTTACCGGTCAGAAAACCCTGCTGGATGGACGTGGAGATACTTGATGATTTTGTCTGACCGGAACAAGTTCTCGTACTCCGTTGGACGGCCACCGCCCGCCAGTGTTGGTCAAACCGTATCCAATAAAGCGTTGTCTCATCCATGTTCAACCTGCATCATTTGATGGATGAAGCGAAAGGCCGATCCCGAATGACGGAACAAGAACCATCGCACCAACGAACAGAAGAGTAAACCAAAACCAGAATGCTTTGCATGACATGATATATATATATATATATTTCGGTGAGTAGCATCTAACCCACTTAAAAAACAGTGAATCATAGCATTGATTCTTCAATGGACTAGCTCTGAAAGAGCTGTCTATCCAAAAAGCACCCGGTGTTGCAAACAAGGTTATTGTGACGAAAATACATTTCCTGGGTACAAGTATATGAATGAAGGGACAAAAGATTACCGGATACGCATGCCTGACGAGCGGCAAGAACCGCGAAACCGGTGGTATGCTTCCAGGGAGATTTTGTCCGTTCATTCACATACTTGTTATGAAATGTATGTATACAGATCTCAATCTTGGAAACTGAACAAGAAAAAAGGACCATCAGAACTGCACCTGAGACCCTTGATGAAGACTGTACTACCGGAATTGCTACCTTGTAATAACGGTGATAACGGAACCAGGGCGCCCTCCTCCAAAAAACCAACNCCTACTTCTCACCCAAAGGGACTTCTACAACAAGAACTGGTGTGGCGTTTTCAATCCAGCCAGCGGGATATCATTGCTGTTACAGAAACTAGGTTGATATTCTCGACTCGGGCATGTCTCTTCTCAGACGCGATTGTCCAACACTTTTGCGAGCTATGTCACAAGTCCTATCAATTAAATTCGGTCACATTCTAATAGTGGGTGGTTTTAACTGCCCTCATCTTATTCAAACTAAGACCTCCCAGGCATCGTTGCAAAGTCAGTTTAAACAGTTAATCGACTCACATCCGCTGTACAACCACGTGAAAGAGCCCAGGAGATTTGGAAACTTGGAGTTGTTAATATTGGATCTGGTATTAACCAACGAAGAGCTTATGGTCGAATTCATCGATCTCCCCCCCCCCCNCCCCCCCCGTAGGACGCAGTGACCCTGCAGTACTGCTGTTCAAATATGTCTGCTACGCTTCGATAGAAAGAACTCCGCAATACAAAAAACGTTTTGCTACGGACTATACTAGATTGCGAAATCTGGCTCATTGCACTCAGTGGATCTTTCCTGCGGACGTACGTCACCCACTGGTCATCTGACAAGCATTTACGGACAGACTTGCAAATCTGATCGCCTCAGTTACTAAGGTTGTTGGAAAATTAAGGGTAAAAACTCGCCGATTCGCAGCCGCACAAAGAAATGGATATCTCTGTGAAATCGACCTTGGCGAGAATCCAATCGATTTCCAACGAACAACACCTGGAATGAATATCGACAATGGCGAAACCATTGTACCCAGTTGGTGCGCTAGGATAAGCTGAGGTAGTAAGAAACGCTCTCACGGAAGTTCATTTCCAACCCGTCGCTACCATACCAACATGTCAACATGTCGAGGAAAGTAAAGTATGAGATACCCACACTCAGCCGCCTGGGAAGATCGCCAGTAACACCCAGGAAGCAGCTGAGATGCTGTCTGGCGACAACGCGAGACTGGGGCCATCTCGTCGGATACTCTTTCTTCCAAATCCACCACTGACTAGCTTCACCTTTAATACCGACAGTGAAATTAAACGTTCTGTCTCTATGTAAGTATTCGGCTCCAGGTGCAGACAATCCACGTCCCCAACCGCTTATTTCGTTAGCGGATCACATATATGAGCCACTAGCTTTTCTTTTCTGAAGCATGTTTGACACACCCATGCTGCCCCAGTCGTGGAAACAATGCATAATTTCTCCAATTTACAGAGGCGGTTGTCGTAGTGATCCTGCCAACTACCGCCCGGTGACACTCCTAACTGTTCTATCCAAAGTCATGGAATCCATCATAGCAGATTTCTTGATGGAACACTTAGAGAAATATGACCTTCTTTTTCCAGATCAGCATTGATTCCGTCAAAAGAGACCATGTACTACCAATCTGCTCCTAGCTTGCGATGAATGGACAAAGACAGTAGACCAAGGCGATGCAGCTGATCTGGTTTACCTGAGCTTCGCTAAAGCGTTCGATCGAGTGAACCACGAGATATTGCTTTGTAAAATGTACAAATTTGGTATCAGAGACCTCCCGCTTGTTTGGATTGCTGAGTTTCTGCAACAACGGCCTATGTCGGTTCGAGTCTCGGTCATTGAGTCTATAGTGTGCTCAGTATCGTCGGATTCGGGGAGACTCGGTTTTAGTGTACCAAATATTACACAACCCAAACCACCCTTGTAGCACACAATTGACGTTGTCATCAAACGTTCATCTGCGGAGACATCCATTAAGGTACTACTCCAAAAAGTTCGACTGGACTGTCGACGTCCTTGTTTCGCCGTCAGTGTGCACTGTCTGGAATCATTTACTATCTCATGTCGTTTGTGCCACGACGTTTGATTCTTTCAAGGTAGAACTTAACGAATCATTAACACATTACATTTCAACATCCATGAGCCCACATAACAATGGAATACATGATATGGAATTTTATTCAGCATTTTGCAGTTCAATTCGTGTAAACACCCCATGGGACAAGAAAAGCATCTGCTTGTAAGCAATGCCCAAAATGAAAATTTGACTTTGATATATCTAAAATCTAAGGTACGTATAGTTCGTTGTTTATGAGATCGAAATAAGCAATGCGTTTGCTATTCATCAACTAATCCAGAAAACAATAACGAAACAGGCGGAATTCTCACCTGAGGATTTTTGTATGAGGACTGATAGGCATCCAAATGCGAGCGGGCACGTCTCTCCCGTCGAGCAAAGTCATTGGCATCTGAATTGGGCCGATCCGCTCCCGACGCAGTACTGCTTGTGGTGCCCGTGGTCCCCCCAGCACTTGCTGGAGTTATGCCACCGACGGTGACTCGTCCGGTACGCATTCCACCACTGTACGATTGAGGAACACCACGACCACGTACTAACCCTGACGTACGCAACGAATCCGCCCCGGAACGGTCCTCTAAGCCCAGGGGGAAATCGCCGGGAAACACATCATCCATGAGTACAGCCAGATCAGGCAGTCCGGATGCGGCATCGAACAGCCGGTATGATGTGTCAGATCGACCGTACCGGTCGATTAAAAGAGGTTCTTCCGCCGATGGGCTGAGTGGACCTGCGATCGGTCCCGGTCGCAGTTGAGCTGTGTGTCCACGACGGGACTGCAGTTGGCCGCGAAGGCTAACCAGTAATGGATATTCTTCATCAAAGTTTTGAGGAACACCGGCATAACGCGAGCGTGCTGATCTGGGAGCATCAACCTCACGCGCACTGCCTAGCATATAGGCATGTAACTTTTCGGCCCAAGCCAGGTCTGACAGTCCACAAGATGTGTCGCCCCGCTATTCAACGACAAATGGTTTGATGAAACCAAAAAGAAGAAAATCTACTGTTAGATCTCATAGTGAAATCACACACAACGGAGACATTACCGAAATCATCAATAATAATGGAAGCAAATCAGAACGACGTGCATTAGGTCACTGCGGCTTGTCCAGTTGTCGGGTGAACCCATTAGTGTTGGGGATCTAACTATCGTCAGTGACCGATTAACTATGGTGGGTATCAGTTTTACTGAGGCACACTGTGGTACGACACGCATCATATTACAGCCCAGGCCGTTTCTTCATTCCAAAGTCCAGTATCTTTCCTGACGGTTTTCATACTAGAACAGCGGATCTGTGTGAATTTAGTATCTACGGCTATTGTTCGTGAAAAAAAACTATTGTGTACCATATTGTACGCTGTTAGTGCGAAGCGGACTTCCGGGGATCCTAATAGGTAGGGGCCACTATTTACGGCTTCAAATTGCATATATCAGAACCATGTGTGAACAGCTCGAAAATGCCGTCAAGGATTTCTGTTGTCGATCTGAACGATGAATCAGTACATCATACCAATAAATGTCACATACCAGACACTAACCAACTAACTAACTAACTAACTAACATGGGAAATCACTGTCAAAGTGAGCCACTACTTTTCTCGATGCGGATTGGATAGAAAAAGATTACCAACTGGTGTTCAAGATTGATTAGGAAACCGACCACCTAGGTGAACTGAGGCATAACGATTTAATCACCGTGGGCAATTTCATAGTCAGCCAGTGGATCAGAACTCACCTGTAACAACACTAAGCCCAAAGCCAAACCAGCTGAGAGAGCAATCAATTCACAACTATCCCCAGCGAAACCCCCGGTACCAGCAGCTCCTGTCCAACCAGTGGTGGGATTTGTCGAATTCGTGCGTGGGGCATTGGTAACAGACTGTTGTGCGTCTCCGTCCGGTGCAAATAAGCCCCCTTTGCGATTCGCACCACCGGGGCCGGTAGATGCGTCCCCACTAAGCGATCGGCCTAGCTCGGTAATCAAAAGATTGGTGATATGTCGATGTGCGGAGCCCTGATAGAGAAGACCCAATCCGAACACAGCCGCTGCCTGGCACAGACTGGGGACTGAGAGTTGTAGGTGAACTAAGGGATCAGAGGGTAACAGGGGACGATAGTGTACCGCCAATAGACGTAGGACAGATTGATCCATTGTTCCTCGTTTACCTGCACACAAACCTAAACGAAAAAGAGAACAAATTGATATACGCCAACTGGCAGAATTCCTCTGCGCATAAAAAAAAACTGGACAAAAGATCCAAAATAAAGAAACACAGATGGTCTCACCAATAAATTCATCATTTTATGATCGGTTGCAATAACCACTCAAATCTAAATGAATTCTGGTGAAAGATACCCAGGTCGCTGAAACTCGGTAAAGTGAATTATGGCTCGGATAAACTAGGTGCACAACAAAAGAAAAGCCCGTAGAGACGAACAAAGAGGAACACCGAAAGGACTGGTAATTCAAAATAACAATATGTAAACGTTTACATGCGATGAAAATGTTTGGGATGACCGACAAAGAGCACTGGACAGCTGTTTCGTCCTGTTTGGGACTCGCCAGCAGTGCGTACCTTTTGTTGCCCTGTAAGGAATCGAACCGCGAACATCCGGGTTGGGACTTCAAACCCTTACCCCTGAGATACACGGCTGAGGGTTATCACCTTGTGCGAATGGCTCAATCAAATTTAGAATAACAAGCTTGGATTAGCCCATTCGATTGTTCAGAGGACCCAGGCATCTTTGATGGTCTCGGGTGTGGGATTCTCTCCTTGGGAGAGCGTTGATTCCCCACGAGTTGGATGCATTCACATGTGATGGAAATGTTTGTGTGCCCAAACGAATGGGCTAATCTAAACTTGCTACTGCAAAATATGTAAACGTGTTAAGCAACAGGCTACAATGAAGATGAGTCACGAACCTAAAAGCACGGCCATATTGTGCAAATCATGCACCCGGACCAAATACTCTCCGATGTCATACGGTGTCATTTTGTTCAGATGCCCATTTAAACCCAAACCGTACACCAACCCGGCCTGTTCCGGAGTGGGCATATCTGGAGCCGCAGTATTCAATTGTCCATGAATGTCCGGTCGAGCGTCCGAACTTGCACCAGCCAACCGGCAATTGTACATGATCCAAGTTGCATCAACCTGGATAAGGGAAATGAAAGAGTTTCAGGTAAAAATGACATCAGAACTACTTGTCCGTGGGGAGAGGAGAAAAGTAAAATGGGGCTCTGATCCCGTTACTACCACTCAACTTAGATGGTACATGGCTCCGCTGTCATCCGTATCATCATCACTTGTTTTTCTCAATTGTGTGGGTCTCCAATTCGACAGTAACAGCTTAGACTGTCGGTTTTCATAACAATCGGCGTGACGCAATCTGCTGGTGATCACTCTCAGGTGTCTGGTAAAAAGT